TCTCACACAATTTGGAGTGAGAACTAAGGTTTTTAGATCAGATAATGCCAGAGAGTACTTTGAGAAGGACCTAACCACGTATCTCTTAGAACATGGTGTAGTTCATCAGAGTAGCTGTGCATATACACAACAACAGAATGGAGTTGCTGAGAGGAAAAACAGACACATTGTGGAGGTGGCAAGGAGTCTTATGGTGTGTGCTTCAGTTCTTGTATAGTTCTAGGGAGATGCAGTTCTTACAGCCGTATATGCGATTAACCGTGTTCCTTCACGGACTTTGGGGTTTAAGGTGCTATTTAGCCTCATTTTTCCAGATGGAGAGATATTTCATATACCTCTGAGGGTTTTTGGTTGTGTTTCTTTTGTTCACATTCTTGGCCCTCATCGCAAGAAATTGGATCCTAAGGCCAAGAAATGTGTTTTTCTTGGGTATGCTTAGAACCAAAAGGGGTATTGCTGTTATGACCTAGTGTTAAGGAGCAGATTTGTCACTATGGATGTTACCTTTTTTGAATCCACATTCTTCCTCTCGAATGGTTCTCCTCAGGGGGAGAGTTTTGGGGAGGAGAACTCACAATCTGTTCCTCTTCCTGTTTCTGTGGTGCCTTCATTAGTTCAGCCAGCATATACATCAGTTCAGCCACCACCTGCACCATCAGTTCACCTGCACCTCCAGTTTCATTACCTGAGCCACTACGGGCAGCATCACAACAATATCAACGCCGACAGATGATGGTTGACTCCACACATCCTCGACCCACACCACTCTCTGTCAGTCCTTCTGATGATAGTGTTTCTGTCCCCAACACTATTGTTGCAGCTGATCCCACTGACCTTGATCTTCCCATTGCACTTCGTAAGGGGAAGAGAAAGTGTACAGCCCATTGCATTTCACACCATCTTTCCTACAGTGCCTTATCACCCTCCTACCGTGCTTTTCTTTCTTCCCTGGATTTTGTGTCTATACTGAGGAATGTTACTGAGGCTCTCTTCAAACCTGAGTGGAAAACAACCATACAACCATGCAAGATGAGATGGATGCTTTTGTCAAAAACCAAACTTGGGAAATAGTTGATCTCCCCCTAGACAAGGAGACAGTCCGATGTCGATGAGTATTCTGTTATGGTCCCGCGCGTAGGATCTCGTCACGTGTCGGTCCACCGGAAGAGACTCCTGTCTTCCCTTGCCCTTGCCCTTGCCCTTGCCCTTGCCCTTGCCCTTGCCCTTGCCCTTGCGTACAGACCCTGTTGTGGCAATCGCGTGGGTGATTTGTCCAAGAGATCACCCGAACTCTCCTCACTCTCTTTCTTGACTGGGAAACTGAATGCTTTATTTCAATCGTAGTTCCTTAAATAGGAGATTACAGAAGAGAATTCCTTGTTGGATTYGKSTAGRYTAVGGTAATYCAAYTCAAACTAAAACTCCTAATTTCCTACTCAAACTAAAACTCATAACTCTTACTTAAGAAGATAAAATAAGATAAGGATAAGATAAGATAAGGGATAAGGGATAAGATAAGCTG